TACAATATGGACGTACTTTATAGTCATCGGAACATACCGAATACTTTTCTGCCGGCCTTCAATTACTTTCATAAATTTAGTTTAAAACAATATCACTAACTGATAAAAAAGGCTTTATGAATTAAGAAAATAACTAGACTTTTACTATATCTTTACAAAAACACTATTTTATAAGTTAATTTTTGGAATTTGAACAGAGCTGCAGAAAATAATCAAATCATATACTTTTCTAGGAGGTTTTTTGGGTCGTTGAACTCGATTCTAAAGAAAGTTTTTAGTAAAACCCAAAGCAAAGCTGGTTTGTTAAATTACGAAAGTAATTGTATTTCACTTTGATTTTTACTATAAAGTATCCAGTAAACCCTGGTTTAGAAATAAAAAGCTTTCACGCGAATCTATAGTAACTATTAAGTAAATATTAAGTTATTATTAAGTAAATTTTAAGTTATTATTAAGTAAATATTAAGAGCAGATCATTACAATCTTGACGCGTCTCCCGTCAGAGTATTAATAATGAAAGATCCTAGTTGTCCGTGTTCCTTTTCATCTCAAGATATTGATCACATACTGTGGAATTGTCCTATTTACTATGATGAAAGGTTAGAATTGTATAATCAGCTTTTCCAAATTAATCTTATCCCACCGTTGTGCACAAAGAAATTAATTAGAAAACCTAATATTACTGCGTGTTTATGTATCATAAACCTCCTAAAAAAATGTACATTGCGTATTTAGATTGGTAAATAGACTGATTCAAATGTATTACTCCTATTTAATTCTATTTATGTAACATCTTTCACGTCTACAGTAAAAGGAAGAGAAAAGTTAACTGTACATGCTATTATTACCCACTGTAATTTTTACTGATATGACAAAGATTGTTCGGTAATGATTGCGCACATAAATTACTATAAAGCGAATAAATCTGTATTTAATTTAAAGCTTTCAAAAAAAAAAAATTGTACTTTACCAGTTTTTTCATGCAACAATGCATTGTTAGAGGTTAGATTTTATTATTTATGACCAGAGTTGTTAAAAAAAGAGAATCATATACTGTTCTAGGGAGTTTCTTGGGTTGCATTTATTTTTGGCCATAGTTTGTTCAATGAAAATCTCTAAAGGCCTTAAAAATTGAAAAATTAGTGAAAAATGACGTTTTCTATAATTTTCGGTACTTTCCATCTCTTCTAAAAATCTGTAAAAATTCAGAGCGATAAAATTGAGTATCACAAATTTTATGCTACCAATTACAGAGCATTACTCAATCAAAATCCTATGTTTTGGCCAGTTTAAAAATTTTAAATGAATTTTTATATAATATTTTGGTATAAAATGGATTATGTTAAAAACAGTTTTGTGCACTTTCAAATTACCTTTAATTTGGCGTTAAGTTTGCTCAAACCGGTTATAAACTTGCAATTTTAGAGCTAAAAACGAAAAAGCACGTTTTTTGAGGTTAGGACTCCCCTAGTGGGAGTAAAAGGCTGAAACTTTTAAAATCTTTATCTTTTTAACAAGACAATAAAATAAGCTAAGTTTCAGCCTAGTTAGTGAAAGGTCCGATTTCACATGCTTATTTGGTTATACTCTATAAAATATTAAAATGTAATTGAGAAAATGGTTTCAGTATTTTTCTAATTCTAAGTGAAAAAGTTAAAGTAACGAAAGATAAAAAAGTTTTATTTAAATTATTAGATTATTTGATTCACTTAGTTTTTACCACATATAAAACAATAACCGTGAGAAACAATATATTGTTTTCTGAAAAAAGGGTTGTTATAAACCTATTACTTTTTATTAAATGTACAATTGCATAAGTAAATTTATAAATGTTACCGAAAAAATTCTTTTATAAAAACTTGTAGATCAATTCAGTAAAAATAAATAATTTACGTATTTTTAGGCATAGCGAATGTGGTTTATTATTTTATTATTTTATTTGCATTTGATTTCATTACTATACAAATATTGGTAATAAAATACACCTACTCGAATGGTTTTTGAAAGTACCCATACGCACATTTTTGTCGATTTCGAATTTTGTAGCAGTGCAGCGTTACAAAGTTTCCGAGCTTTCCCCTCAGAAATGATGAAAAAAGCCTTTGAATTACAATTTTTAATGAAAATATAGCTCTAAAATTAATATGGGTACCCATGTAAAAAATTATTACTTATTATTTTTCATAACTTGTAGAATATTATATTGCTTATTGGTGATATTCTAAAGAAAGTTTTTGATAAATTCTAATAAATCTTAAAGTCACTTTTATTCAGTCAGGTTTCAAGGGTGACTTTCAGTCAGGTTTCTGAAAGTCACCCTTTTATTGGCTATCTTTGATATCAGTAGCTTTTATCATTTTTTATTCGGATTCATGAAATTATGATTGGTATGGCCAGTTTCGCTATGTACTATGTCTAGCTATCGTATAACACAGTATAATTCATCCGATTTACGAGTCATAATGCTACTGTCTCGGTATGCATGATTGTCCAATTTTCGCATACATACAATTTAATTTCTTTTGTTTTATTCGCTTCTATCTTGTAATTTTCATACATTCCAGTAAGCATTCGTTTGTCAATATATATAAAGGCAGTCAATTATCGGTCAATTTGTCGCTATCTCGCTCGCTCTTGCTTACATTAAACTGTCTTGTTCGCTCTTGTTTAGTCTGTCTCGTTCGCGCTCTTGTTTAGTCTGTCTCGCTCGCTCTCGCTTAGACGGTATAGATGATTCAAAATGGCCGCTACTGCTATTACTCGTGCACGTTACATTTCGACAACATTCTTCGTTGCGCTTCCTAAAGCGTTCTTCGTCGTTAATGCTGTGTGTGTGTGTCTCTACATGGACACCAAACCTCGTGATTAGCGAATACGATGTATGACGTCTAGTATGCCGTCGGTGGTGTGCAGTAGTCTCGTACAGCTAATTATCGGCTACCGCTTTTACCATCTGTCAACCTGGCTGCATCAGGTTTGTCAGTACTCTCGCGGTATGTGTTGATGTATGCGAGTGTATAACGCTTCATTCTTTGTTTTTTCATTCAATTTTCTACAATTTCTTCTACGTTTTTCGAGAGTGCCAGCAACATCTGGTCGCGATTATGTGCTTTATTTTTCATCGTTCGTCTGCTCTGGGTTCAACTACCGTTCAACCGAGAGCCGTATTGTAAAAGTTAGGCCACTATTTGGCGAATATTACTCGGTTAGCTACGAGACGGGAAAGGGTGACGGTGGTTTTTTTGGAATATTGTAATGTGTACAATACTGTAGAGCTTTAGCATTATAATGCGCAGCATTACAATCTTTATCTTAATGGTAGTATGGAAATAATATCATTTATATAATTTTCATATGTACTTTTATATTTCTGATAGTTATACGAGGTGTGATCAAAAAGTAAGGTGAATTTTTATTTTTCTCAAAAAATATTTATTTATTCATCAATTTTTATTTTATTTCCTTCAAAGTAATCCCCCTCGGATATAATGCACTTGTGCCAACGCTTTTTCCAATCCTCAAAGCATTTCAGAAAATCATTTTTTGTGATCTTGTTTAGTTCATCCTTCGATGCCGTCTTTATCTCCTCAATCGTGGCAAAACGCCGTCCTTTCATGGGCCTCTTCAGTTTTGGGAACAAGAAGAAGTCACAGGGGGCCAGATCTGGGGAATACGGTGCCTGTGGCATCGTTACTGTGTTGGTTTTAGCCAAAAATTCGCGCACAAGCAACGATGTGTGAGCAGGGGCGTTATCATGGTGCCAAAGCCAATTTTTATTTTTCCGCAAATTCGGACGTTTCTGGCGGATTGCTTCGCGCAAATTGCGCATAACTTGCAGGTAATATTCCTTATTTACTGTTCTACCCTGTGGCAAGAACTCATGATGCACCATGCCCCTGCAGTCAAAGAAAACTGTAAGCAAAACCTTTACATTTGATCGAACTTGGCGTGCTTTTTTTGGTCTTGGTGATCCAGAATGCCTCTACTGGGACGATTGAGTCTTAGTCTCGACGTCATAACCGTATACCCATGTTTCGTCACCTGTTATAACCCTGTTGAGTAAATCTGGATCATCGTTGACGTCATTCAGTAGCTCTTGGGCGATGCTCATGCGACGTTTCTTTTGGTCGAAATTGAGCAATTTCGAAACAAACTTCGCTGACACACGTCTCATGTCTAAAACACTCGTCAAAATTGATTGGCACGAACCAAATGAGATGCCAATATCATCAGCAATTTCTCTAATGGTAATTCGACGATTTCCCAACACTATTTTCTTCACTTCTTCAACATTCTCATCAGTTGTTGATGTGCTGGGGCGTCCAGAACGAGGTTCGTCGTCGGTGTCTTCTCGGCCTTCTTGGAAGAGTTTATACCACTTGTAAACATTTTTTTGGCTTAAAGTAGACTCACCGTATGCATTTCAAGTGTTTTGGAACATTTGATTCCGTTTTTCACACAAAATTTAATGCAAACTCTTTGATCCATGTTTTTAGACAGCAGCAAATCGTGGAGCACGCAAAACACTTCTAACCTTGATGCTTCTCACACATACTACAAAGCTGAAATTTGGAACGTATGTTCTAGACGAGTGTACCGACATAACCAAATAAAAAAGTCGAAGATCGAACGGACGTAGCCCGCTGAATTTCAAAATTCACCTTACTTTTTGATCACACCTCGTACAGCACTATCTATAGACCAACAAGCAGTTTATCACTATGAATAATATTATTTGAAGAAAAATGAAACGGAATACCAATGAAGCCACTTTTTACTCTAATTTCAGGAATTTTTTCTAAAAATAAATATAAAAATCATCACACAGAAAAAGGAGCAAAACCGGGCAACGAGGGAAGCAAAAAAGGCCACGGCTGTGGAGTCAAAAATCTTTTATACCTACACACATACATGCGTACGCGTGTGTGTGTAACTAATGATTGGAATAAAAGAATCATATTATATATTAGTGAATTATGTAAAAATTAAACAAACTACTTCATAATTATATTTTCCACATAATTAAATACATTTAACTATTACTATTCAATGACAGAAATATATTTCCGTAAAACTTTCGTTAATATACAATTAGAGTCGCAGCAGAATCAAGATTTCAAGGTTTGTGAACTTCAATTGGTTTCATATTCTAAAATCTCGGTTTCTTCTTCAACGTATTGGATCGCATTTTCTATATTTCCGATATTTACTTTTGTATGATCAGAAGAATCTAGGATATGATCCAATCTATGTTTCCTCTTATAATTAGTTACAAAATTATTAGAAATTCCGTAATCAAAATTGTTCATTTCAATTTGCATTGGTTCTTGAATTTCCTCTACGACTTCTGTAACAATTTCATCCCGATCCTCGAATTGTTCAAAATTATTTATAAAATTTTTACTTGAAGTAAAATTACAAATGGTATTACTTCTACAATTTTCACGGTGTTGTATGTAAGTAGACGTATCACAATATATTTTGCTGTCTAATTTATAGCTAATTTTTGAATTTTCAAGTAATTCATTATTGTTACTCTGAGGTGTATTTTCTATCATTGTATGGCATTCTATTTCTGCATTTGCTTCTTTGATATCATTTATTTGACAATCGTTATTCATTGATAACGTCATTTCAGATGATGTTGGTTCCGAAATCAACGATTCACACTGTGAAATTTCGTGTTGGTGAGATTTCAAATGAAATAGTAAACTATTTGAATTTCGGAAATGTTTACCACATTCCGAACATTTGTTTTGTAAATTCAGACAACTTTTTAGTTTAATATTTTCTTTACAACAATTCATTTCAGTATCTAAGTTAATTTTTCGATCCTCTTTCGACTGCACGTTTCTTTTTGTGCGCACATCCAAGTGTAGAGTTGGCGAAATGTTAACTAATTGATTTTTATGATTAGCTTGATGTCTTGCTAAAAGTGATTCTGACAATCCAATATAATTGCAAACTTTACATTTTGGAAAAGTCATATTTTTGGGGGGTGTTATATTGTGTTTTGTATACATATGGTACATCAAAATGTTTCTTTTCGTAGCTTTGTATCCACAATGTTCACAAATTCGAGGATCAAATTTTTCATTGTGTACATCCTGCATATGTCTTCTGTACATGAAATAATTTATATACTTTTCATCTAAACTGCATTTTGCACATTTCCATGGTCCCATTTCATCATTATCCATAGTACTACAGTTAGAATCTAATTCACCAGAATTATTAGCCATGAGAGAATCTGATTTAAGAACTACATATGATATTTTAGTTCTTCCAGTAGTTGCACATTCAGAATTTTTAGTTTCTTTTTGCATTATTTTCAATCTAATATTTTTACTTTGTTGAACCAAATGTGGATATTTCTTTAGAACTTCACGTATAATTTTGGCATGGTTGTCGACTACTTCAACAGATGTTTCGGTGTTATTGCTAAAGTGTTCTAATTTTTTAAAATTTTCTTTGTTACTTGTATCAAATCGAAAATTTTTAGAAATATGTTGAACCTCTTTCATTTTAGTAAAATATGATTGTGACCAATCATCATCTGAGATATCTGAATTTCCATCCTCTTTTCTTGAAAAATTTGATTTATTGCTAGGCTCTAAATTTGAAGAGTCATTTATAAAAGTGCTGAATATTTTGTTACTATAATTCATTCTTTCCGGTGCTTGAACAATAGGTTGAGTATTATAAGTTATATCATCAAATGAAGAAAAGACTCCAAGTGTTAATTCATCTATTTCCGGGAGATCGAAACGAGATGGACCCTGATAATTTTTTGAGGAAGAATTACCGAGGTGGGATTCAGAATTCCAAAAATCTATATTACTCTTCGAAATTTGCAGTAAGTGGTCGTCATCTTGTTTCCTTTTTATAAATGGTGATCTGTAAAAATAATATCTACATGTTATATTTTACCATTTTGAATTTTTATTTTCAACTGTGGAGCTGTATGAAATAAAAACCTTATGAAAGTACTTGGTTACGCTATACCAACTAAGCATTTAGTCCATCCAGTTCCACGAGTGTGAATTTTCTTTATATTCTATATACATTGCAAGCATAATATTTATGATTAATATTATTATAAAACATAGTTTATAATTGTTATTCTTAGAATGACTAATACGATAGTCCCTATTTGGTAAGATGTAAAGTATTTTATTATTACATTACTAGACATATATTTTTTGAAATTTGTGTCCCAAACACTCAAATTCAATCTCTGTGTTTATTCTACTATATTAGATATTCATTACAAAATAAATCAATCGAGTTAAATTACAAATATGTATTTCGAAAATTGTTGAAACATTCGAATAATCTGGGTCATATTGCGATAAAAAAATCATAAGAAGTTAGAGGAAAGCATCGAATCTCCCTTTATAGAATTTTTCTTATTTAATAACGTATTTTTGTTTGACGTAATTCCTGCAAATATAAAAATGCAAATGGTAGGAAAGAAAATATAATTGAACGTAGTAGTGCAACTCTTCCATTTGTAAAGCGCAATTTTTCAATCAGAAGTTATATATATATACGAGTATAATAAGTTTTTTAATACATACATCTTTTACAAGATATGTTTAATTTAAGTAAGAAAAATAGTAGGACTTAAGACTAACAAATTGATGAACAATCCTGTGATAAACTATATTTCTTCAAAAAAGAATCTTCATGAATGAAACATGTAAATTTTTTTATTCGTTGGTTAAAAATCGAAACTTTAGCCTTTGATTGATCTATGGTCCATTCAACATGGATTCAACCAGCAAAAAAGATTGATAACTTCGATTTTTTTGAAATTTCAATGTAAAAATGTATGTAAAAATTTCATGAGACAAGTGTTTTTTCTTTTTACTGAAAAACATTTTTGAGATCATTGGAGGTGGGGTCTACATTAACACCTCAAAATCGATATACGGGAAATAGAAATATGTATTTTTTTCAAATGACCGATATTTTAGCCCAAATAATGCTATGAGTAAATTTTTTTTCTTCAAAATGTGGGGAGTATAATTCGCTTTCACGTAATGTTTTCAAATTTTGAATATTTTGAAAAACAACTGCGTAAAATGGAAAAATCTGAAAAAAGGCATTTTTTTTCAAAATCGATTTTCTCAAAAACTACATCTTCAATTTACGCGAATTTTTAATATATTTTCCAAAGTTATCTTTTGGCCGAATCACAATATGCCATTTTGCTCCGTTTACGAAATATAATTTGACAAAAATAAAATGCCATTTTTTACATGTTTAAACTAATGTTATTCGCATACGGCGTTTCCTTAATGATTTCTATGATAAATCTAATCATTGTATTCTACGTAAAAAAGTACATCGAAAACATGTGTCACATGTTTAAAAAATAATTTAGTTGACCTCAAATAACTTAAAAAACAAAATATAGTATATTATTCAGCTTGTTATTGCGTGTTATTAAACATACTTAATTAGTTTAATATAGTCTTCATGTACAATGATACACAGTAATGTTATTTATAATAATTTTTAACTGTTATCAATCGTTTTCATTTAAATTTTGTAATATAAAACAGTGATTCAAATAATTATCAACTACTGCGCTATCTATAAGCTCTCGTTTTAATGATAAGTATCTTGCTGATGTTCGTGTCTGAATAAACAGCCTCATGTTACCTCATGAATAATTTTCTTTCTTTGACTAATGCAGTGTAATTGAAAGCTTTTGAAAGAATTAACTGACTTTTTTTTCTTTAATTCAGATAGGTCTGCGTGAATTTATTAAAAAAAGAATTGTTACTGTCTGCAAAAATTTAAATTATCAACAATAAGTACGTTTGATTACCCACGAGTTCAGAAATATCCAGATTTTAACAAGATTCATAAAAAGGTTTTGTACGAAGATAAAAAATGCCCATTTGAATCTCTCAGCAATGTAGTGAATGGACTAATTATATCTAAAGAATATCAAAATCATGATATAACAGAAGACATGTCTGTATGTTTTCTTTGTTATGACAAACTTCAAAAAATATCAGCAGCACATCTTTGAAAAGGCACAAGATTTAGTTTCCTCTACTCAATCTAGTGAATCTCAAAACAATTTACCAGCTGATTCTCAATCGTCTACAAGCAGTATTAAATTATACGATGAAATTGACATTGTGATTAGTAACAATTTATTACTATCACCATTTAAACCTCCTTCGAGTATTAGTTCAGCAAACGTAAAAAATTATGTCTATCGCAAACGCAAATAATTATTCAATACTTTCATCGAAGTAAGTGATTGCAAAATTAGAAAATTATATGATGTTTCTAGAGACAAATTAGTATTTGATAAATGCAAAATATATCACGAATGGAATGAAAATTTAAATTATCAAGAAAAATTAAGTTTAGCAACGCTGATACCTTCGAGTCTTCAGAAAATTTACATTTTGTCGCATCAAGGGAACTACAGGTTACATCATCCAAAACTCGTCAAAGCATGTGCAAACTAAAGGTATAATAGGTAAATCTCCGAAGTTGTTGATTTTTTGTCCTTCGCTTTTATTAACGAAATAAAAAATGTTCAAGCAAAACTACTAAGAGTATATGAAATAGTATTATTTCTACATTTCTATTCAATAACAAGTTCGATTTACGCAATAATTAATTATATTAACGAGGATCTTCGTGGAAAAAATGCTCAAAATTTACATATTTAATGTGTCCCTTGGAAAAATTTGAATTTTCAATTTTTTATAACTTTTTGAACATTCGGAGTAGGAATTGGAAATTGGAGATGGTGAAAGCAGGCATATAGGCGCATCTTTTGAATGGATCGGTTAGTGTGTGTCATCAAAATATCAAGAATAGCAGACTGTAATATCGTTGTCCCTATTTTTGTTGGAATTTAAATTTTTTTCACTTTTTCGTATATAACAAATTGAACATTATCTTGATACTAAGTTTAATTTTTTGTAAATACTCTTCTCTTCCAAATACATGATTTTATAGGTCAATAGTAGGCGTCTTAAAAAATGAAAAAGTTACTGATTCTTATATTTCATACAGAATTTATTTTCTGAAAATTAATTTTTGACTGAACCATGTTAATAACTTACTTGTCTGGTAATTTAAGATGTACAAACTTTGTAAAAAAACGTTCAAAAGGCATCATTATTTTTTCTGTGTTTATTCGATAACTTAAAATATTAAAAATGGTGTATACGAAATTTCTCGCTGTGAAATTCTGTTCTTTGGGTATTAAAGCGTATACTTTCAAATCTAGAAGTATAATTATCGTTGCGTTTTGTTGTTGATGTTCATTATTGATTACTAATTTTGTTGCTATAAAATTACTCCTCATCTTTTGTTTGAAAAAGCTTACAGTTCATGATCTACTTAATTAAATTGTTTAACCTCGTTTATCCATCCTACTTCCTAATATTAATGATAATATAATAGAACTTATAATTTGACGGTTTTGTATTATATTGAAGTTATTATTTATAGTACTAACATATGTAATGATAATTTTCGAAAATTTAATGATTTTCGTGTTATTTTTTATTTTGTATTTGTTTTGAATCTCTAATTTTTTGAAAATTAATTTACAACAAGGTAACTTCTCAAAACCTTGTTTTTCATATCTACGTATTTGAAGGTAAAATATCAATTAAAAAAAAGTATGCTATTAGTTTAAAAAAAAAAATTTTTTTTCGCATAAGGCGACAACTTTGGAGATTTTCTTATACATGAGCACCTGATCTGTATTCTGGAAATCCTTTTAAAAATGAAACTATTATGTTAGTTAAATGATATTACTTCGACAATGATCTAGATTGTTCCAGACAAATCCCAACAAAAGCGACGTCAAAAGTATTAAAGTTGATGGAGAAATAACAAAAAAAGTCAAGCGATTCCTCACTCGTAGCATCAAGGAAATTCATGATTTGATTTTCAAGCAAAATCCTGATCTCATAATTTCAAAAGCAGATTCCTCAATTGCACCAAAAATGGGTCATTATTCAACCATTTAATGATTCGTATTTATGTGTTCATTGTACCAATTTCCATGTCAGTGATCACTTTGAAAAATAAACTCAATAAGAGACATTCTGAATTTTCAATTTTAAAAGAAGAGCTCTTAACCATGATAGTTCGCTAGAAAGAACGATTTTTATATTTTTCGAGAGTATAAAGAATGCCAAGATTAAGTTATCACTGAAGAAAATTTTCATCAAGAAGGAGACTTACTTTATGATGAAATCACTTACGCAATCTGAGAGAATAACGGTCTTTTGAAACAAACGTGCACATGTTATGTTTATCTAAAGAAACTAAATAAGTACTTGGAAAACATGAGTAAGCATAGATGAATCAAAGAGCTTCAGCAAGATGCTATCAAATTAAAGAAAGAAGCCGGCAAGTTAAATAGCCATCGTCTCATTCTTCATGGATATTTCACAAAGAACTGGTCTCTCGTTCAGAAAAATGCTATTCAAGGATTTTATTGGACAAATACACAGAATTCTATATTAACATCTGTCTGCTATATTAGAGAGGTTATCGAAACTTTACGAGTAGTGAGTGATGACAGATGACATGATTCAACGTTTGCTTTGAAAGCTATGAATTTGATAGCAAGTGAGTGTAAAAAATTATTCGATACGATAAATAGTATCACTGCAATGTCTAATGGCGCTTCAGCTCATTTCAAGAATAGATTCGAGTTTTACGAATTAGGCAATGATTATAAGAATACAAAGTGGGTCTTTTCAGCTACGAGACATGGAAAGAGCGCATGTGATGGTGTTGGATGATTATTAAAACATAATGCTACAGTTCATAACTTGTCTTCATTGCCCAATGAAAGCATAAAAAACGCTGAAGATTTTGTTTAATTTCGTTAAATG